GCAGAAAAAGATAACATTAGTAAATAAATTATAAAACTCAATAAATTATCAATAAAATTTCTTTTTAATCTTTAATGTAATAATTAGATATGTTGAATGCATATTTTAATATATTAAAAAAAATTTTCATTTATATTGTTGTTGTTAGTCTTAAATCTGTAATTTAAAAATTTATACATGAAATAACGAATGATTTTGAGCTTCTACTAAATCTTCATACTTTGGTACTTACAATTAAAACCACAATTAAAAATAATTAAGAAGATGGACTCAATCCATCAACAATCAATCACTAATTACCATAAATATAATAAAAAATCTTTAGGTTATTTAAGCTATTTAAAAACTATAGAATCTAATGCAAAGCCTAATGAGAATTTGGGTTAAAGTTAAATTATAAATTAAGGCAATCATTTTCTACAAGTTTTCTAGAACAAAATGAAAGTTGAATGCACCAATAAAAGACTTCGAAAGAAGCAAAGTTAACTTGATTTCATTATTAATTGAGAAATTAATAATCAGTAAGGGGAAGTTAAATACTACAAACAAGATATCTAATATTAAAAAAATAAGCTAAATCTTAATTTAATATATGAATAAAACAATTAATCTTTATAACAATGCATATCTGTTGTATATAAATTCATATGTGTTATTTGACTAGAATATCTTATAAGAATAATTTAAATAAGTAAGAATTTTCTGGATTTTAATATATTGCTGAATCATAATGTTCCAATGCTTCTTTTAGTCTGTTCATTTTTTTTAGAATAATAGCTAAAATATCCTCCATATTGAATTATACCTTTACTAGAATAATAGTCAGAAGCTTTCGGATTCTTTTATATTGCTGAATCATAATTTTCCAAAGCTTCTTCAAATCTGTTCATTTTGTCTAATGTATCAGCTAAAATATCTTCCATTTTGAATTATACCTTTGCCATTATAATAGTTCGACTCCTCTGGATTTTTTTATATTGCTGAATCATAATTTTCCAAAGCCTCTTTAAATCTGTTCATTTTATCTAATGTAATAGCTATTATATCATTCATTATGAATTATACCTTTATTATAATAATAGTCAGCATCTTCTGAGTTTTTCTAAATTGCTGAATCATAATTTTCCACAGATTCCTATAATCTATTCATTTTTTCTAATGTCATAGCTATGAAATCATCTATAATTAATTGTACCTTTGCATTTATAAAAGTCTGCATTTTCTGAATTTTTCTAAATTGCTGAATCATAATATTCCAAAGCTTCTTAATATCTGTTTATTTTATCTAGATTAGATGCTATAATTTCGTTTGTTATAAATTATACTTTAATTCATATATT